AAAAAATAACGAAAGCTAATAAAATGGTCATATTACAACACTTTTGATACATTGATGGTATAATATGAAAATTTTAATTTTGAAAGGTATAAAGTGGGAAACTTTATGGGTATAAAGTGCAAAAATCTCAAAAAAAATATAAAACCAACAAAACGTAATGCCACATAGCAGGTCCATGAAAGTTTATTGCTCCAGCGCTCCACAGAATCACCACCACCTCCATCGTCAAAACTTAAAAACCCACCAAAACCCTAAACCCCTTATCGTCCGTCCACCTCCATTTCTGCATAGCCTTTGACCAAGTGGTGTCTTTTCTCTCTCCTCCGGCAATAATTAAACTCAAAGTAAGAGTCGAAGGACAGAGATAATTCAACAATAGCGTGATGTCACAGTTGACGGACCCTGAAGGGATGCCGTTGGGAGCTCCTTTGTACTTACCATAGAACACTGGTCTCAAAGGGCTCCAACAAATCGTCAATAAACTTCTCAACAATGTAAATGCACTTTTTCAAAACCGATTTTATGAACATATTAACTTAATCGGAAGTATTTTTGTTATTTTTTAGAGCAAATGTTTGTGTTTTTGCTTTCTCTTTTGGAATTTGATGGCCTAATTACAGATAAATCCTTTATTTTTTTTATGGATTCACAATTCTTCTGCTGGATATTGATTTGACCCTTTAGTCAGAAAAATGGGTAAAATTCAATGGTGGGTGCTTATGAGTGTGCTCGGTCTCACTTTGGTCCTTCACCTTGTATGCAAATTATTCAACTTTTTTCAACGAGTTAAGGGGAGGGGGTTAGCTTTCTGCTGTCCCACTCTACTAATTATTTGGATGAAAGTCAAAGAAACCAATTTGAAGACAAATTAGAAACTTTGGAGACACAAGAGTCAGTAAAAAAATTGAGGTACAAAGCAAGAATGAGAGCATAATTGCCACTAGTACATGCTACAAACCAAAAAAAAGAAAAGCCAATATTCATGGAATATTTGTTCATGTCTTGTTGAGAGAGAGAGAGACAAAGAGAGAGAGTTTTTGTGTGAATTGTATTACATTTGCATAAGTTGATTATTAAAAACTTTGGTTTTGTGGTTTGTTTAGGAGGATAAACTGCCTTATGCTTTCTATATGTTAGGACCAAGAGCTTGTGGTGCAACATGGGTCATATTTACAGAAAAACAAAGGTTAGTAAAGCTACGGATGAAGTCAATTGGGATATTCCAGCTCATAGTATTTGTTATATTGTTAAAATTAATCTAGAGGGCATCTTATTTTGTTTATGGAGTAAGTGGATTTAAATTGTCATTTGTTTTGCTTTGCAGTTTCTGTGGAGAAGGTCCTGACAATAGTTTACCAACCACAAGCAATTTTCCAGATTCGTCCAGTTACTCGTTGTTCTTCAACAATTGCAGGTATGGCATTTCGATTTATTAACTCAATATGCCATTGGATGATATAGTTTTGTGAACTTCCAACTATAGTATTTTGTGTGTTGAAACTTATACATTTGCAATTTACTTATGCTTTCTCTTTTATTCTCTTTCTTTTTTCTTTACCGTTTATAGTTGGGAGGATGATCTTTTTATTTACAAGTGATACAAATTTTACTAGCTTTTCTATGGATACCTGTTTGTGATTTTGGATTGCATTAATGAAGGGCTATGTGGTTCCAGTTGTCTAGTGACAATTAGTGTGGTCATTTCTATGGTGTTCTATCCTAGTGGTCATGGTATACCATAAATGTTGTAATGAGGTAGTGGAGCCACCTCAAAGAATGAAGAAAAAACTTAATAGAACAAAGTTGCTAATTGCTATTATTATATTCTGCGATATTTGACGAGTTAGATGGGAAGATAAACTGCATGTGTCACCAAGTGTTGTCTTCATCAGCCAATAGTTTTCCTCACAATTGGACGACTCAGGCATGCACATCAGAAGATAAGGAATGGTGATATTAATTGTAATATTATTTTTGCTCGGAATGGGAAGATCTTTTCCCAGTTTTTTTTACCATAGTTCCAAACATCGCTAAACCTCTGACGATCCACGATCCCAAATGGTGTGGGTTCATGATCCCTAATCACCTAAATGTCTGACGACAAACTATATGATTAACCCAAATCAATTTGATTTGGAACATAGATCACACATATAAGACAAACATTAATTGTCTATGTTTGTAGATGTAGAGTTATATATAAGTTTAAGTAATAGAAAATCTAACACAAATACAGAATAAACAGTGATTGATTATGTGTATTTGGATTTACTATTATATATAATTTTGTATAGTTGTAAAAGTGATCTAGATAAGAGTTTCAAACGAATTGCAACCTAAAACGTTGTACCAGCTAAGCCTTACCCCATCACACTGATTACTATATACTCATACCCGTACTACTACGTATATAATTGACCAATGATTCAGGTAACACTGTTTCTGTCAATAAGGATGATAATCGACCTAGGTGGGGGGGGGGGGGGGGAGTACTCTGCATCTCCATACCCGGTTAGAAAAAGTTCATTCATCCCCGGTCTATCCACATTAACGGGGCTAGTTTTAATTCTCATCCCCGTACAGCAGGTAAATTCTAATTCTCGCCCCCACCCCCACCACCGGTTCCCTGACTTCACCTCCCCTCCGCTCCACCATAACAATTAAGAATCAAAGAATGTTTAGATTTGAAAATTAAAAAGCAAGAATCAAAGAATGCTAATATGGAGTGTAAATTAAAAGGCTAGATATGACCGGTAGCTATGGCTTTCAAAACCATGGGAAAGATACCAACAACAAAAGCTACAAAAGCCACTCATCGATAAACGTGTCTTAGAAATGATACCAATAGCAAAACACCACCTTACAAGTACTACCCATTACCTCAAAACCATCATTTTACTTTCCCTCACAGTGAATGAAATCCATTAATATATATATATATAATAAAACACATAGCAACTTGAATTTTTATCCTCTACATATTTTTTTCCTAAAACCATTACATCACTCATTTCTATCATATGTTTAATCATTTAATACTTGATTAATTTATAGTTAATATAATTTTTATTTCAAACATTATTCATATACAATAGTATACACATGTTGAAAAAATTTAATATAATGAGATTGATTTTTTGGGTGTTCGAATTTTATATTTTATTGTGCCTTCAGACACGGGTTATGACTAGTGAATTAATATAAAATCAAACTTGAGGTAAAACCTAAATGCAAGTCCCAACAAAAAAAAAAAAAAACCCAATAGTCGAAGCAAAGAATCTAAAATTAGTTCTATTTTTGCAAAATCTGAAATAAATTCGTTAAGTACACAAAATTTGAAATTAGCTCTATTTTCAGAAAATAATTAACCAAAAGTAGAAGCACAAAACAATCACTAGAGTGAGCAACGAGAGAAAAAACGAAAGAAAGTAGGAGAAGAAGAGATATAGAAGACAGAGAGAGAAGGCAGAGAAAGAGAGTAGGCGTTACCTGGTCACTAGTCAACTATCAACAAGAGAGAGAAAGAAGGGAGCGGTGTCTTCTTGGTAGTGGCTAGGTGGAGGATCGTTAGTCGCTAACGGTAGGAGAAGAGAAGGGGGAGAGGCCTGACTCTAGAAATGTCTGAATTAGGGCTGAGTGCTTATTGGTTAGGAATAAAGGAGTATATATATATATATATATATATTTATATTTATATATGTATAAAAACTAACGGGTTAGCGGGGTGGAGACGGGGGAATACGTTACAGTCCATACTCGCCTTCATACCCGTACGAATATCCCGTCAAGAATCAAAATTTCATTTCGATGAATTGTTTTGGTCACCTAGGAAACGAAAACGTTTCGATATGTTTCAGAAAAGTTTCGATCCGTTTCGAAAATATAATAAAAAAAAATATTTAAAAATTATTTTTTCAAAACATTGATCGAAATATACCAAAATATCTTGAAATATATTAAAACTTTTCGAAATAATTGTGCAAATGCATTGAAATATAAAAAAATATTTTGAAACATTATGAAACACTATGAAACACTTCGAAGTATTAGAATTTCAATTTGTTTCGGTCTCCTTAGAAATGTAAACGTTTCGGATGTTTCGAAACGATATTTTGATCTTTGATCCCTGTATACGTCCACCGTTCAATACATATGGTCAATTTTCAATCTAAACTAGGTGGAGTTTAGATGAATACTTGTTTTTTTCGGGTTTACTGTCGTCCCTACCTAACCATGTGGATCAACGTTGCTAGAGTCAAATTTGTACTTATCAACCTTCCAAAGGGTAAAATGTTTCCACAATCAGATACTCATTTACAGATTTTTCATTCTTTTCCCCTCATGTGCTGCTCACGCACTTCTCGTTTTGTTATATGGTATTCTTTCTTTCTCTCTCTCTCCGCTGGTTATGATAGGCTGGTATGTGCCTTGTTAGATGCCTTCATTCTTGGAAACAAAGCTTTTGAATTATGCAATGGAGGTGGGTGATTGAGAGGAAACACCGTGGGCACTGTGGGTTTTGGTGGATAGTTTGGTAAGCCCTCCATAATATGCGGGTCTTTTGAAAGAGAAGTAGGAGAGGCTCGTGGGAATTCTTTAGACATTTTGATATTATGTTTGAGAATGGCATGAGGATCAGCTTCTGGCAGGATTGCTGGTATGGGGGCCAGCACCATAAAGAGTCTTTGTCAGAATTCTTTAGGTTGGCAGTTGGTTGGAATGCTATTGTGGCATAGAATGCTAGCTTTTTGACAAGACGGTGCAAAATCCTGGTTATGGGTGATGCCCTTCTATGGTCATCCACTTTGAGGGTCGTAGTAGTAGCAGAAACAGAGTGTCTTGAGAAACTTTTATTCATAAATTAAACCAAGGAAGTGTGTATTTGTCCTTTGACAATTGACATAGCATGAGAACAAAAAATAGGTAACGGATGAAGTCATTGAACTTGTATCACAAGTCATGACTAATTTTTGCTGTAAAATTATTTTATGTTTGTTTGAATGCTGAATAGTTTATTCACTGCAGGCCATAAAGAAGCTGTACTCTCGGTTGCCTTTAGTTCGGATGGACGACAGTTGGCAAGTGGGTCCAGTGGTACCACTGTTCGTTTGTGGGACCTAAATACCCAGACTCCTTTGTTCAAGTGTAAAGGTTAGTTTGAGTTATGATGAAATTCTTAACCTCTTAACTTGTTTTCTAACAGGCAATTTTAGAGAGACAAAAAAAAGGGCGACCCAATGCACAAGGCTTCTGCCACTACTAGGAAAAGAAAATATAACAATTCTTACATGACTCACAAAAACCTCAGAAACAAAATATTATAGGTTGAAGAAGGGAACGTATCTTATGGATACTGGATAGACTTCTTATTAGGCAGGAGGATTAATGACAAGATATCTTATACTTTCCCCTTTTTTCACTTTGGATTTAGTTTTGTTGTATGATTATGAATGGATCAACAAGCCAAGCACTTGTATGGTGCTCGCTGGATTCTTCTGTATTCTACAAAAATATAATTGCTTCCATTTTTCCCCCCTTTTCCTTGGGCAATACTATTAAATATCAAGATGACTATGTTGTGCAAATTCAATGGAAGAATCATCCGTTTTTTCATTGCTTTTGTTGCTCCAAGTAATTGCTTGGCTTGAATATCTTGACATTCTGACCTTTTGGCTTATTATGTACCTAATAACTTCTTGCAGCAAATAAGGTATGCTGGTTATGTAAGCCCTTGCTGCTTTATCTGTCAGCTATTTGGGAGCTAATCCTCTTTGCAAGGAGAAATCTTTGTAAATTTTTTTGGTTCTCGAGGAAAAAGAACATATCCTTGTTTATTTGTGTTTCTTGTGCTTTCATATCTTCCAAATTCCTTGGATGAGTTTTTGTCTATTATTTCGACCAAGTTGGTTGGTGTGCTGTTACCGCTTACTGCATTGTAGCACCCTCTTTAATAGGATAGGACGTGCATGCACTCATACATCTATCAAATATAAGGCAAGTTGCAGGATTTGTTAGCTGAAATGTGTTAACAACTTAAAATTATGTATGCAAAACTATTTTGAGCATTTTTGTTAGGTGATCGGTACCAATCTAGAACTCTTTAGCAATCTCAAGCTATTCGCTGCAGTCAATACCTTTTTTCTTTATGCAAATACACTTTATCAGACTAGTGCTTGCAGCAATTTTTTATATCCGGATTTTTTGAGAACTGCCCTTAAAATGGATTCTATTGTTTGTCAATAAGCATTACTTATATGGTACCTCTGATGCATTGTACCATGTTGAAGGAAAGATTAAGAAGTTTGATACATTCTTGTGGAGTAATGGTAAAAATTGTATTTTCCCTTATTTGCAGGCTATAAGAATTGGGTTCTTTGTATTGCATGGTCAGCAGACGGTAAGCATCTCATTAGTGGAAGTAAGGCTGGAGAACTTCAATGCTGGGACCCACTGACAGGGAAGCCATCAGGAAATCCACTTATTGTAAGATCGTCATATTTGAATGCCTTGCTTCTTTTAGGTTAAATCTTAGTTGCTTGATGAGTAAATACATCTTTTATCAATATTGCAAGCACATGGGATGGAAATTGTATATTGGTCATCGCAGTGGAAGAGTTACTTCATTATTGATTCCGTCTGCTTTCATATGTAGTAACCTTTAACTACTGCTGTGTTTGTCAAACTAAAGCAGAGTGAATGGCTGCCTATGTAAAACCGTGGAGTATCACTTGGAGTTGTTTTTTTTTTGGGTGTTGTGGTAAAGAAGCATAGCTATCTATGAGATCCAACAAAAGCTTTTTCAGTTAGAGCTACATTAAATAAATGTCTTATATCTTCTGGTAGCAATTCCAGTTCCACCAAGGCTTCTGATTGTTTCTCTCCCATGTTGGCTGGTTATCCGCATATTGGTTTCCCTCCTGAAATATGTGCAATATCCGAATGTTATTCCTCTTGACCATTTGGTTGCAGTTCCCTATTAGTGCTTTGCTTGGGTAGTGCAGTTCCAGCTGGTTGGTAAGAGGGTTGACGGCTTTGGCTGAATCTGTTTCAAGTACGACAGTATTGGTTTTTTATTCTTTCCCTGTACCATATCTTGAAATTTACAATGCATAAATTATATTCAACAAATGAATACACAATCTATATAAACAAAAAAAGAAACCACGAGAATACCTCTTAAGTCATCTATCAAATTGGTACTGGATGTCCTTTTCTATCTCTTTGATGTAATCCATGCCAATTTTTTCAACAAATTTGTTTTCTGTGTACACAACAAAAAAGTTTGTGGGAAAACCATTCTTGTCTTATTTTGAAGCCTAGTTTTGATAATATTCATAACCACGAAAACAAAGCTGTACAAAATAGCTATAGTCAAAATAGAAAGCATAGGAACAAATCTAACCAATGTAATAAAAAAGAGTAAACTTTTTTTTTTATTTACCAACGAAATATTTTAATGAAATAATTAAAATGGATGACAACCTAATGTTACTATACCAATAGAAGAATATTTTCTAGCATGATTCAGGTAGATGTATGAAAAACTAAAAGCACTTATGGCAAAAATTGTCATGGGGCCAATATAGAAATAGAGATCCTTCTTCAAGTATATATATATTTTTTGAACAAGCTTCTTCAAGTATAGTGATGTACATATATGCCAAGGTTTTCAAAAGTGGAGGTGGAGGGGGAGGGGGTGGCATGACCCTCCTAGGCCCTGTCCTAATTTCGTCAATGACTAAGGGGTTGAGGTCTTTCTTTCTCTAAATTCCTAGTTTCTATCTTTTCATATGTTCCAGGTAGTGGCTATGAAAACTATGCCTCTCCAAGTTCTTTCCTTTCTGTTACTTGGCACTTTTATGCAAACTTTGCCACTCTTGAAAATGAGAATCAAGTGCCTGCTGCTATTAGTGTTTTGTTTTGATCATAGTTACCAAAAATCGCTAAATCTTTGACAACCTACCATCTGGGTACATCAATCTCAAATGGGGTGGATTTGATATTCATATCACCTTAATGTCCAACCCTAAATTGTAATGCCAACCTCAAATTGTTTCTCTTAGATAATGTATCACAAATAAAAAATAAATATTAATTGACTATAAATTGTTTTTGAGTATGTGTTTATGCATGTGTTATTATACATAATTTTATATAGTAGTAAACGGTCTAGGGTTCCAAAATGAATTGCGATCCAAAACACTGTATCAACTAAACTTATTCCCATTGCACTGCATCCCCGTACCCCCACTCCAAACCAAATCGACCCATGATCCAAGTAACATTGGTTTTGACATAAATCTAGATATTGAGAGTGAACTGAAAATTGCATCTGGTTGTTAGTGTTTGAATTGATAAAAAACTAATGTGTCAGCAGCGTGGCTCGAAATTATTTTTGAAATGACAAGAATTGAGGCCAGAGGCATGCACCTTGTGTTTTGGTTATCAGCCCCACTGGTATCACAATCAGCCTATTTCCCATGAGCATGACATTGAGTCGGTTCCTAGGTTTTAACTTTTAAGACTGGTTTCGCTTTCGGTACCTGAGGAAAAAGTCTGGTTCACAGCTGTGGTGTAAGAAATCTTAAATCATTTTCTTGGTCACTTCAGTAAAAGTTCTTAAGAATCACCTTGGCTGCTCTCTCTATGTATTGGTCTTTTGGAAATTCACTTATTGAAGTGTCATTTGCGGGTTTGAGTGGTTTTTTTTTTCAATTTATTTTATAATTTGCAAACCAACTGTTCATGAGTTTGGGTTTGTAAAGATGGTGGTCTTCTACAATTTATATTTTAGCTGAAGAATCAACAAATAAGAAATATGTGTAATATGATCGAATTTAACACCATTTGAACAGTAAAAAGTGCAGGATCAGGGGAAAAAAAAAGAATAATTAAAAGTGTATTGGTGGAAATTTTCTTTATTGTGTTTATCATCAGTCATCTATAATGTTCTTGTGTCTTCTTATGATCCATATATGCCGAGACTAGATAGTTTTTCATAATTAGTTAAGTCAGTGTTCAGATTGGCTACATGCTTCTGTTTGGATATTTTGGACCATTGCTAAATCGCAGGCTGCGTTGTTTTTGATTGGAATGTTTGCAGAGCATTCGTCACTGACAAGTCTGAAAAATATTTCTTCTTAGACCCTAAAAAGTGTTTGTTTTGCCATGACTGGAGCTGAAATGCTGAATAGCAATACTAGCTAAATATGTTCCAACATGTACATAGTTTTGCTTTTCAATTTGCATTTACAATTTAATGTTCTAGGTTCTAATTAGCTAGAGTAAGTACAACTTCACTGCTTGAGGACACCCAAAAGACTCTCATGGGCACTCACTTTAGAATTCACTTATCTTAGGGCCACAAGAAATGGATTACTGGTATATCATGGGAACCAATACATCTCCAGGCTCCATGTTGTCGCTTCGTGAGTTCAAGTAAAGATGGTGATGCGCGTATATGGGACATCTCATTAAGGAAATGTGTTATTTCTCTTACTGGCCACACACTTGCAGTTACTTGTGTGAAATGGGGTGGAGATGGAGTAATAAATACAGGGTATGCATTCTTTTTAGTTGCCAGAAGTTTTAATGACCATTCTTGTAAATCCTTGTTTTTATTTGCATTCTAATTGATAAGTACTTACTCTTTCCCTCTGACCCACCAAAAAATTTTACTTGACAAACTGACATATTAAATTAGGCTATTTACATGTCGATATCAGATTCACGAAAGAATATCTTGTTTACAACTAAAATTTTCTTCTTTTAAACATAATCTATCGCATTTCTTTGCTCATTTGATCAATTGTTTTTGATTTTAGTATATTGACAGAAAGAAAATCCTATGGCTACGCATCTCTACCATAAGCTACAAAAAGAACTACCATTGGCTTATTATGACCTAAAAAAGTTATGGCCGCATATCTTTCTTTTCCGTAAAATATCCACGGTGAATTATTGTAGTGGACAAACTGCAGTGTTTGGATTAGTCAATTGTTGGTTACGTTGAAAATCTAGTTGGCTTGCCTTCACAGAATTGTCCCCTAGTGGACTTCTGAAGAAAATTCCTTAGTTTTGTGTTTTGGAAATGTTTTATTTTAGTATCTTTGACCTGATATTCAATGGATTCCTTGGAAGTTGAAATTTTATTCCAGTATTTATTAAGGTTTTGCTTTATCCAAGAGAAAATGTTTATTTACTCGTAAACTTGTTTGTATATTGGCAACCAATGTTAACTAATATTTGGTGGCTTTACTATCAACGCATATATGGTATGCTCTAATTGGATGATGACATCTTCCGTTCACATGCTGCAGATCACAGGATTGTACAATCAAAGTGTGGGAAACTTCGCAGGGGAAGCTAATTCGTGAATTGAAGGTAAATGAATACATCTTTTGGTAATTTGGTGTTATTGAATTGCCTTTCTTGCTTGCATAGAATTGCAAGATGCTGCTATGTGTGATCCATGGTCAGTATGACCAGTAGGTTTGTAACGTGGGCTACCATTTAAGAAGTGGACCAGCTTGGGTTAAGCCCTATTTAACTTGCCTGTTTTGAGTGGAAACCAAGTTTTTATTGATTTGATAAAGGGAATACCATGCTTTCAGTTAGCTTTGCAGAATGTGATTAACAAAAAATTGGGAACCACAGAGAATGCATGCAGTTATCAGGATAGCAAAGTCTTTTTAAAGTTTTTCAAAATGCATATCTTGTGAATTTCAGATGACCGTCTTGATTACTCTTGTCTTTTAGTAACATTGTCCTTTTGTGGCGTTTGCTTTTGAGACTCACATTTGATGGTCAAGCCCTCTTACTCTGTCAATGTTATTGATTTTAAACTAAGTGCTTTTGAGTTGTTTTCTGGTGATTAATGTTTTAGATGACTTTTTTTTTTGTGGGTGTAATGTTTTATCCATTCCCGATATTGAGTACCTAATTTCACTTTTAGCTCCTTTATTATAATTACCTGAAGTCTAGACCCCCAAATAACATGCAAAGTTGTGCCTGGTAATTGTGAGAAGTTAAAACTTTTCAAGGCTAATTACTACTAAATCATTTAGTTCTTTTTATAAGAACTTGATTAGCATCAATCAGTTCTGTCGATTTCCTTGGTAAGTTCATTGCATTCCCTTGGCATCTAATAATGGTTGAAAATTCTGTGAAAATGTTATTTGTGCTTTTGGGGGCCTAATGTTGGACCGAATTGTTGAACACTCTAGACATTCTATGTCTGCTTCTATTATGTTGGTGCTTTAACAAATCATTGAATAGTGCCCGATCATCCAACCAAACCGTATATTAGAATGCTAACCAAAGCACACTTGACTGATATAAGTCACGGGCCATGTCAAACCCCTTACTGTTTCTTGCATGCTAATTATCTTTGATGCTTATTTGTTTGACTGGTACTGGGGCACATCTATTATGTTCGAGGTTTCATCAGGTTTCAGTAGTGCAAGAAAATAAATTGGCAAAGTGAAAAATGTTTTTGAGTTGCTGAAGATCCTTTCTTTTTCCACAATGAAGTGGTGGTCCTAAAGAGTTTACTAGTTATTGTGGGAAATGATCCTCTTGCATACTCCAATTATTTTATTAATGGCCCGTCCCCGTTACATATTTTTCGTTTTCATATTCTTATTGAAGGTGATGGTTCTATTCCTAATTGTGTTTCTGTTGAAGGATTTTGGTTCATATACTTTAACTTCTACTCTTGATGCAATTGTTTCTTCCTTAATCTTTAACTTCTTGCTTAACTACTTTCTTTGATTATTTTTTAAAGGGCCATGGACATTGGGTTAATTCCTTGGCATTGAGTACATAATATGTTCTTCGGACTGGCGCTTTTGATCATACTGGTAAACAATATTCATCTCCAGACGAAATGAAAGAGGTAATTGTTTTTTATCTTTAACATCGGAGAAAACCTGTTATGAAGTTGTATGTTACCAAAATGGACAAATTCAAGTCTCCTTGCAAATCAAAAGTTTTTGCCATAATTTTTATGTTTTTTGAGGTGCATTTACTTTATATGTTTGCGTTTTACTTTTCCTTTTTCTTTTCTGTACAAACAACCTGCCTTCCTTTCACTGTTGAATCAGATTGCTTTGGAGCGGTATAAAAAGATGAAGGGCAATGCTCCTGAAAGATTGGTTTCAGGATTTGATGACTTCACCATGTTTCTTTGGGAACCTGCTGTCAGCAAACATCCCAAAACTCGAATGACAGGTCATCAACAAGTATGAGTGTTTGCTAACACAATTAAAGGCATGAAACTGATTTACTAAGTGATTTTTCAATGAACTGTGCTTAACCTTTTGACAAAAATTAAGTGTGATACATACAACCAGTATCAGTTAGACAATTAGGTTTCACTTAAAAAATGCCAAAATTTTAAGTTGAAGGCACTCACTTATCAGTTAGTGCAGAACACCTCACTGAATATAAATTCTAAAACTTATCTCAAATTGTACTAAACTTCTAATTCTTTTTAATCTTTTAACAGTCTCGGTTCCTCTCAATATGTCTTTCTCTCTTGCATAGCTAAGGTGTCCATGGCCTGGGCAGGCCATCCAGCCCACTCAACCCAGCCTTGTAGATCTAGGGCCCAAGCTAGAGCATAAGCTTATGGGATTGGGGATTGGGGATTGGGGATTGGGCAGTAAGTTCGTCCTGATCAAGTTCTTAATGAGTTTGGGCTTGACCCTACCCTGCCCTGGTTGATAATATTTTTATAGAAATATATTAGAATTTTTCATGTAAACTGGAAGATTTTGTATGTTATTGCTACAATGGACAATCAAATCTTGACATTTGTAAAGAAAAAGAACATGTCATTTTTTTTTTGGTTTAATCATCACAAGGAAAAGAATTTCGTTTCCACCGAGCTAAAGTTCTTAAGTAAAATGAAGTGTTATATGGTGGCCTAGTCCGCTTGGGTCTAAGCCATGACATGTATGCAAGGGCTGCATTTGGGCTGGGCACATCTAGCCTTAGGATGGCTAGGTCGGGTTTGTGCTTGGGCCAGTATGAAGTGTGTAGGTTTCTCAAGTTAATGTGGCCCGGGTTCACTCTAGCCCAGCCTATGGGTACCCATGCTATTAAGAAAGTTAGAGCAAAACATGGCACAAGGTGATAATAGAAGTACTGTTTTTATGTGTATAGTTGGGCGTGTGTGCTGAGATTTCTATGGTATAACTGTAACTATTTGCACAGTATTTGCCTTCCAAGTTCACATTTGAGTCTAGATTTTCTTGCTTTCTTGCAGCTTGTGAACCATGTTTACTTTTCGCCCGATGGGCAATGGAGAGCAAGTGCCTCATTTGACAAGTCAGTCAAGTTATGGAATGGTATCACTGAAAAATTTGTAGCTACGTTCCGGGGTCACGTGGGACCTGTCTACCAGATAAGGTTTACTTTTTATCTCATCAATATGTCCACAAACATCTGCAATAAAGCTAATTATCATGTTTCATGTTGCCATGCATCTGGTCTGCTGATAATAGGCTACTTTTAAGTGAGAGCAAAGACTCTACTTTGAAGGTATGTGTATTTTCTGCGTTATGGTTTTGTGGTTCCTTCGTTAGTGAATCATGTTGGGTATAACCCATCCTATAGAGATATTATGGGTATGATCAGTGGAGGTGTTAGCCTTGTATTTGAGTCATTACAAAAATGTAATTGCATGGAAATGCAAGTGATGTGTTTTTTGAAATCCCCGATCATCGGAAGTGCATTGAACAAATTTCACGTGCTGGCATTTTGGATTTTGTGTATGTGGATTTATTTATTACATTATTTGGTTAACTAGTGTATTCCTGATTGGGAGATGTGGAGTTTTTAGTAGGAGAGTAATGTTAGTGTTGTTAGAAGACTTATTCTATAATTACTGATGTAATCACTATAATTTTGATTAGAGTATGATCTCTAATTGTGTTTCTTGACATAATCATTGCGAGGTTTCGATAATCCTGTTGTCTTCTTTCTTTCATCCCTGCATCACTTTGATATTAGTTTGTAAATCTCCTTTGGTATGATTTTTTCTTTCACTGTAAATTTAAGTACCTTGACGTTAGTCTAATATTTTCCTTCAGAGTTACTGGGTTCAGATGAAATTGTCATTTAACTCTTTAGTAAAAAATTATTCTATCAAAAATACCTATCGTGGGTTAGTCTAGGTATTCTTTTATGCATCAAACCTCAACCTTGGAGCATCTATTCATAATTTTACTCTCGCTTTGATTTGTTCCTACTGAAGTACATGTTCTTGATTACTAATCTAAAATTTCTTCTATTATGTAGGTTTGGGATATCAGGATGCAGAAGTTGAAACAAGACCTACCTGGCCATGCCGATGAGGTATATTTGCCTTCAAAACACTGACAACCATTTTTCACAGTAAGATGATAAATTTTCTTTTCAATTTTGGAAGGTTTTTACTGTTGACTGGAGTCCATATGGTGAGAAGGTAGCATCTGGTGGTAAGGATAGAGTTTTGAAGTTATGGATGAGATAGAGTACACAAGAGGCAGAAGTTGCTTGGAAATACATGATGGAGATTAATAGTTAAACTTCTGCAGCTTCCATCAGGAGCTAGCATTGTAGATGTTGTAACAGAGATAATTATTGGGAATGCTGAAAAGGATAAATAACTGGGGCTAAGTGATAAGAACATAATATTTAATATTTTTAATTCATTTATATTTAGTTTTATGACATATTTTTTGTTTAAGTGAGCTGATTAATATATTTATTGAATTAGGGAAGCATTGAAGGTAAAATAATATATATGGAATATATTGTGCAATTTTTAACTTTTAGGTCGTGTTGATCTATGGAGCTTCAATTAAGGTTCAGATGGCGTTAGAGTTTCAAAATGAGAAAGTGGTATTCATGAATTTTTTAGAGGACATCTTAAGCTTTTCATAAAGGTATGGTTTACAAAAATTCGAGTTCGTTTGGGCCTCCAAACATTGTTTCAAAGTCAGGCCTGAAAAGTTGATCAGAATCTTGATTGGAGTTGGATTCTTGTCTAACCCAGTAAAATTCAGTGGGTCATAACTTGAGTTTTTAAAGTCCAAATTAGGTGATTCAAAAGTCAAAACTTATCCACACATCTAGGGATACAACTTTTATCAAGAGCTCAAATCAATATTCAGTCGTTATCTGATAGAATAATAACTCACAAGTTCCAGCACGATTTTGTGATTTCTGTCAATCTGTTTTGATAAGGAATCCCTATAATGTAGGGATTTGAGTTGTACACGTCTTGGGAAGTGTCATATGTTTTCTATATGTATCTAAGGTTTCCTGGAAGGAGTAGCTTATGAGTTCTATTGTGAATAACTAGCTTAAGTGTTCTAATGTTATGATGAGAACAAGATGTCTTCGTGACGGATTATAATATTATGGTTTAGTTGTCTGTGTGACAAGCAGAAAGAAATATCAAATGGTTTGAGACGATAAAGCATTGAATGACGAAAACTAATTGTTAGACTGAGTTGTCTACATGACTAAAAGTAACCTAAGTGTTCAAGTTTGTCTTTGTGACTAATATAAGTTAAAATTGATTTCGTCTAAGTGACGGAAGCTGAATTTATTGATGTGATATGAGTTGTTCAAAAAAAAAAAAAAAATAAAGGGATACATGTTATTGAGTTGTCTGAGTGACGATCGTATACCGATATGGTGATAAACTTGTGTGGTGTTTCATCACCTAGGTAGCTAGACGATTATCTCTGTGTGAAACCATAGTGCAATGAAATAGAATATCGAGAAAATTATATATGTTGTTGAGTTGTCTGAGTGATGATCGTATACCGATATGGTGATAAACTTGTGTGGTGTTTTGTCTTCTGGGTGGCGAGACGGTTATCTCTGTGTTAAACCGTAGCAAAATGAAATTGAATATCAAGAAAAGTTATGGAATCACAAATATTAAAATTTTATAAATGAGCAAGGATATCATATTATTTTCTTTGCTCTATCTCTTAAATCATTAATAAGAAATCATTGAAAATTTCCTTGAAATCTTTTCAAGTAAACTGCACACAAGCTTGCAGTTCACTATTGCACCTAGAAGTCCAGTCAAAAATGTTGGGAAGGGCTTGTGTCACTGTCTTGTTTCTTGTTTTTTTTTAAAAAAAAACTTTTGGGTTGTACTTGACGTCAATATTTTTTTATTTTTTTTTGCATGTAAGTAACACTTATAAATATTTTTGGGATATGTAAATACTACATGATAACGGGTTTGTGTGCCACGCACATATGACTTTTATTTTAAAAAATGGTCCTAATATAAATATTTTCAGGATGTGTTTTCTTTAAATATAATATTATAATGTTTTATTAATAACAAGATTGGCTAAATTTTATTTTTATAATAATAGTGTAATGGAATTGGGGTGTTATATGAGAGGTTTATGAAATTAAATCCTCCAACATTTGCAGGAACAATTAACCCTCTAGAAGTAGAGGATTGGCTGAAACAGATGTATTCAATATTTGAAGTAATGGGTATTACTGATGACCAGCGGGTTATACTTGCCACCTTCATGCTGAAAGACGAAGCACGGTTTTGGTGGGAGGCTACTAGGTGATTGTTGACTATACCAGTTATCGTTGAAGTTGGTCAGGTGCCAAGAGGGGTTACTTAAAATTAGTTTGTGAGGAAGTTCAATGCGAAGTATATTCTTGAATCTTATCAAAAAAAAATCAGTGTCTGAGTATGAAAAGCGATTCACTACGTTGTCCCAATTTGCTACAACTTTTGTCTAAACTGATAAAGAAAGGTGCAACAAGTTTCAGTGGGGGTTAGATTATCCTATTCGAACTCGTATTGCAACTTTTGAAGTGATGAGTTATGTTGCTCTAGTGAATAAAACTTTGGCTATGAAAAAAGATTTACGGGAGTCAACGAATTGACGTGAATAGTTCAAGAAGGGAAGGCTTGATACAACACTGGTGTTGTGATCGTGCAGCAATTATGGTGAATAGTAAGGAATCAAACAATTAAGAAAGCAGGAGAAAATAACACACAGAGATTTATGTGGTTCGGCAATGTGCCTACATCCACGAGAGCGAGCGGCCGTTCTTTTTATTATAGAATAAGGTTACATCTTAAGTATTTATATAACCCTAATATGGACGTATTTACAAAAATACCCCTGTACCGTACATTGCAGGGAACTACGCTCCGCCCGCTCCGGCATCTGCCTCCTTGCCATTATGCACACAGCAAATATGAGCCACACATACTCTAACAACTGGGTATGAGATCTCAGTTTGTCGGGCAGACATCAGGGTCTAAAAAGCAGGGACCCAAATCTTCTTAGGCTTGAAGTACAGGGTATGGTCAAGCATTTACTATTTCACGGTGTCAGGGATTTTTTGAATTTCTATCTAGACAGTAGAGTAGAGTTCCAGTTAGCAGTCGAGCAAAAAACAAATGGTATGTTATAAGTGTGGACTTGATGGGCGTATAGGTAGAGATTGTGGGTTGATGTCGTTGGGTAAGAGTCGATGGTGCTACAAATGTGGGTATGTAGGGCATGTATTGCGAGACTGCTTGAGTGGGTCTGCGGGGTCATCTTCTGTTGGCAGTGTAACTCCTGGTGGAAGGGGTTCACAAGGGAGTGAAAAGAGAAGAGGAAGGGGGTCTGCTGGTACCTCTATATCTTAAGGATGAGTATTTTTAATGAGGCAACAGGATGCACGTGCCTCCCCTAATGTAGTGACAAGTACGATTTCTACATTTGTAAGAGATGTACGCATACTTATTGACCCTGGTTTTAATTATTCCTTTGTTGCATATACATTTAGCATGCATTAGGACCGACCTTTACATTCCTGGACCATTGCTCGTCTATCTCCACCCCAGTGGGTGAAGTGGTGTTCGTAGGTACTATTTATAGGAATTGTGTTGTAAACATGGGTGCTCAAGAATTACTAGTAGACTTGATTCCCCTTGATATATGGGATTTTGATGTGATATTGGGAATGGACTAATTATCATCTTAAGACGCATCTATAGATTGATCGTCTATCTCCACCCCAGTTGGTTTTCAGATACCAAGTGAACCTGAATTCAGATTTCAGGGGGATCAGAAGGTGACTCCAAATTGTTTGATCTCTGCAAGTAAAGCTTGAAAATTACTTAGGAAAAGGTTGTCAAGGGTATTTGGCATATGTAAGGGATACTAGTCAAGATGAAATAAAGTTATCCGAGTTGCTAGTGGTTTGTGAATTTCCAGATGTGTTTCCAGATGAAGATTATTTTGTTGTATAAGGTGATGCAGGGGCAAGGATGGATGTGGCATTATTTATGTGGGGGTATAATCAGGGATTATATTTTGGAGAGCAAACCCATGGGAAATATGTTGTTTGCCAATATGATTATGCATTTTCGTGTGGATGCGAGGGTAAAGAAATTTGTGAGGGATCATTTGACTCCTCCTGAGAAGTGGCTCATTAGTAGCTGGTCAGAGAGTAAGAGTGATACCATGTCCAAAGCTACTGGAGATAGGCATACTCTTGCTACTTCTTGACCTACTGGATCTACCACTGCACCTACTGATACTAGTTTCATTCATGTTTGTATGTTTTGGTTATAAATCAAATAAATATTATATGTAATCATTGAATCTTGTTTTCCTTGCCAGTTATGTAATGTTTTTGAGTGAGGTATATGTTTATATTCATGAAACTATCATTTTGTTATCAAAACCCTAGACCTCCAGGAACATAGGTTTTAAACATGATGTTTTCTTGTTCTTGTCTTAAAAACCCTAGTAGTTTGTTTAGAACAATAAAATTATGTTTCTCGATAATCTCTTGCATGTTCTTGAATTGTTCTTTTAAAAAACACTTGTGAAATTATAGTTCTTGAATTACATGTGCTTTGGTGAATTGGTTTGGAATACAATTATCTCTTGTTTGGGTGATTTGATAAACATTGGTGACCGTTGACCAGATATTGTAACGTGAATAGATATGTTTCTTATCCCGAGGGTTGAAAGATTTTCTATCATTCATTGTGGAGTTGGTGTCTTGCGCTGACCAAACCATTATTTGCTCATAGCAATCGAGGTTAGAGGCTAGTATACTATTCCTATGTTGGATTCATCACTGCCGATGCGTCAGTATATGCCCTTTCTAAAATTGTGTATCCTTATGAGGATTTGGTGTATGTGAGTGTGGGTTAAGATATTCTCAGTATGTGTATTCATACTAAGTCTACCTGTATATCAAAGATAAATTGTTTGAAATTGGTTTATGGACTGAAAGTTGGTTTTATTTTTGTATTTATTTCATTATTTTACACATAAAGTTGAGATCTGATAAATTGTCTCTATTTTACTTCAAAAGTATATATGATATTTTGTAATACTTGAGACCAAACCGTTTTGTCCCGTTTTGAAACTTGGTTTGTTTTGGGGAGGATTTTTTTACAGAGCTTAGTGCTCACCCCCTAATATTAACATTTTACAGATT